TCTAGGTGGGTGACCTTGAGCAAGTTGTATAGCCTCCCAGTGCTTCCGTTTCCTTTTCTGTATATTGGGAATAATAATAGTACGTGCTTCAGAGAGGCAGATTAAATGTGGTAACATGAGTGAAGAGCGTAGAACAATGCCTGCTTGGCAAGCTGTTATTAGTGATGTTTTTGGGTGTGAGTGTCTCCAACAAATAAAGCTTCTCATACACACATCCCATGCTCAAGATGCTCGAGATAAACAAGTCAGCGGAATGGGTGGAGATCAAAATATTATCTTTATTACTGGCAGAGGCCTGATTAGACAGTGTGGTGTAGAGTTTTGGCCAAGAAGGTTTTCTGGAGATAAGGCAGCCCTGGAGATCACCAGGCCTACCCTGCTCCCACCCCCCAGGGGAGCAAGAAGCTTGTGAGCCGCCTGGGCTTGCCACCTGGGCCCTGCTGGTTTCTATGGAGGAAAGGTCTGGGGTGGGGGTTGGGGGGTAGAAGGGGTGGTGCAGCCAGGGCAGCCCTGGGTCCTTTTCCCAAACTGCTGGGTCAGGCACACCTCTCCCCTTCCCAGGAGGCCTGGACGCTGCCAGTCCCTGCTCCCACCAAATTTGTTTTTGAGGGCCAGGATCGTCCTTGGTTTTCTGTACATGAGTGTGCACATTGTGGGTACTTGATGAATCTTTGCTGAATAAATGTAGACTGTTAGGCAGCAGTTTGCTGGAAAATATCAGGTATATTCTGTATTGATATCTGAGAATGTGAAGCCATCCCTAATATAATGATACAGTATAAACTAATATGATAATGCATGTCAACTGTAATTAAAAATGATTTGGAAATTGCCTATGTTATCATTGATGAAATATGGTAGTTTACATTTGTTTAAGGGCCTGTACTGAACAGGGGCTCACTCTTGAAGCATTTTCCTTCTGAGTTGTAATTATTTCTTTGAAGAGAGTGGAGGAGTCTTATTAGGGACTTCGCCCTTAAAAATGATTATATATATATATATATATATGTATTTTTTGTTTCTTTGTTTTATATAAAGTCATTTAAAGCTGAAGACGTGGTGTAGATCTTCAAATAAAATTTCAATTGTCTCTAAATTTACATAGGCAAGTGAAAACTAAGCATGCTTTAGGGAGTTTTTAGGAAGTAATTTAAAAAGTTATTAGGAGTGGACACTTTTAGTGATATACTCTATTCATTAAAAATATCTTTAGGAATTTTATGTTTATTATGTGAGAATGGATCATATTGCCTTCATTAAGTCAATATAAAAATATAACTAATTTGAAAAACTTTTGATACTTAGCCCTGGCTGGTGTGGCTCAGTGGATTGAGTGTTGGCCTGTGAACCAAAGGGTGGCTGGTTTGACTCCCAGTCAGGGCACATGCCTGGGTTGTGGGCTGGGTCTCCAGGGGGTCGTGTGTGAGAGGCAACCACACACTGATGTTTCTCTCCCTCTCTTTCTCCCTTCCTTCCCCGTCTCTAAAAATAAAATAAATACCGCTTCTCGGCCTTTTGGCTAAGATCAAGTGTAGTATCTGTTCTTATCAGTTTAAAAATAAAATAAATAAAATCTTTAAAAAAGAAATCTTTTGCTATTTAGATATAGAAAAGGACTTTCTGACTTAAAAATAATTTTAGAGAAGAAAATAGAAATCTAAAAAAATGAAAATACATAATTATAACACCTAAATGTAATAATAGTTTTATTGTTATTAAAGTTTTTCTGTGGGTAAAAATTTTAATGGTGGTATAATATTTCATCTTATGGTTGTACCATCAGTAATTAATTGTTTCCTTATTTTTGAACATTTAAGCTCTTTCTAAGCTTTTGCTACTCTAAATAACATAATACTTAACATTCTCAATTGAATATAAGCTCCACGAGAGCAGGAATTTTGATGTTTGCTGCTTTAGTCCCCAGCACCTAACGCATAGTAGGTACTCAGCAAATATTTTTTGAATGCTGTTGAGTGATTTTAATTTAAATCTTAAGGCATCTTTTCTTCCTGACTCTAAGTCTTCCTAGAGAGTGGAAAAGGGAAGCTAAGGAGGTAATTAGGTTGCCTGTTTTGTAGTATTTTGGAGATGTAGTTGGAATACAGCTTCCTTTGAGGCAAGCAGATACATTAAATAACTGCTTTTGACTCCTTTTGCCTTGTGTTCTGTTTGGAAGAACCCTTAACCCCAGAGTGTGCATTTTCATTTCCCCATAACATGGGCACTACTGAGATCAGAGGGCATTATGAGGCAACACCTCTGTGCACACTGGAATATTGTTATCTTCTAGAAGCTTCTCTAAAGCCTTGCAGCTTTTTCAGAAATGATTTATAAAAATTTGCTTTCCATAGTCCATTTCCCAGTCCCACCCCTCATTTTATTTAGCAAAGGTTCATTGCATTAACTCTTCATCCCAACCAATATAAAATTCTCTCTTACCCTTAGTTCAGTACGTGTTATCTGAGGTCGCCCGGAACATCTGTTGAAGTTGGGGATCGTCCCTTTCTGGTCTCTGCCACTGGCCTCCCTTCTGTGTTGCTGACTCTGCTGAAGCTTTTCCTGCCCCATGTATTTTGAAGGCAAATTACGTATATATTAGCTTGTGTAAGGAAAGCTGCTAAAAATGAGGACAATTGACCTAGTAGAGCAGGGAATTGGAAGAGATATTGAATGCTCTATTTATAACTCACAAGTGCACATTTCACTCCTTAACAGGGCGGGTGTTAGGGAGGCGGTTCCTGCGTTGGTGGGAGGGGCCCCGTGGGGGCCAGATTCCAGCACTCCCACGCTAAGGTTCTGTGATTCAGTGGCATCAGGCAACAGCATCTCATTTTTTAGTTGACCAATAGATTGATTTATTAATTCATTGAAGTACTCTGCAACTGCCTCCTTTGGACGTGGTTTTTATTATTGACCTTATCATCTTGACCTGGTCACAAGGAGGGGACATGTGATGTGGTCTCATCTGTTAGTGGCAGCCCCTATCCAGCATTGGGGATGCAGGGATGTAAATGACACTCCGCAGATCATGCAGAAGTGGTAGGTCGGTGGTTTTTACTCCCGGCTTCGTCTAGGAGTCACCTAGGAAGTTAAAAAGTCCTTCTTCCCAGGTGTCACCCAGACTAATGACGTCACTAAACAGGGTGCTGATCCAGGCAACACTGTGCTTTAAAAAGTGCCCCGGTGATTCCAGTGACAGCCAAGGTTGAAAAGTTAAGGTTTAGGTTTAAACTAAAGGGGAAGTTGTATAATTTAACTCCTTTTTGTGATTCATTTTCTACTTTAAATTTTACATGAAAGTATACAGTGTTGATGTGTGACATACACACGTGGATTTTCAGAAGAGAGTGGTGTGATTGGTGGTAACCGTTGCCCCTTACACTGTGTACAGTTTGGAAGGGTTTGCTGCCGGGTGGGTGAGGGGTAGGTTGAGAGAGTCTGGATGGATCCTACGCATCTGTCATGGTCTCTAAGAAATAAAACCTAAAAGGCTTTGCTTCTGTTATCAGGTCAGCGTCTCATAGCCAGTGCAGTGGTAGCACGTATGTGCTTGAGTGTGTGGCCTGCATTTTGCATACATTTAGTCTTTTAATCCATGTATTCACTCTGGGTGGTAGTCATTTTTTTTGTCCACTCTGCAGATGAAAACTGGCAACTCAGAAATAATAAGTAACTTGCTGGTAGCTGTACATGTGGCGATTGGCAGTGCTGGAAGTGGGACCCAGGCCAGAGCTCAGAGTTCGGTGAGGCCAGTGCTCAGGGTTTCTCCGTGGAGCCAGGTTGACCTCTTCCAACTTCAATGCGAGCAGAACGCTTAGTGGTTAAGGTTTAATTAGTGTGTGAGAGAGCCTTCTTCAGATCTCTTCTTGAGTGCATTTTCCCAAAGAGCTCACAGTACTTTTATAGTTGTTTTTAAGAGGCAGGTACTACCTTTATTTTAATATTCAGGACAGCTGTGCGCTGAGAGTAAATGTTGTCATATACTCCACTGCAGGCTGTGGAAATTGCGAGCAGAATGCTTTCTTCGGGGAGGTGAACGTGGGGCTGTTGACTTTCATCAGTAGACGCGTGTGAGCTGTCCTCCAGGACAGGTGTGGCTCACCCACTCATCTCCCCTGACGTCCCAGCACGGGGGAAGGCCCCGGGGAGCTCGCTGTCCTGTCCGGCCTCAAAATCAGAGTGTGTGACAATGAACGAAGATGAAGCTGCGAGTCGCCCAGGATCACAGCGGGCTGAAAACACACTGCTCCCTCCCTAGAGGAGGGTCGGCCGAGGGGCTTCTGATGTACCTGAAACGGAAGAATCGAGTGGATTAGAACCAATGCTTTATTACAGTAAAATAACCTATCCTATTTCAGAGACATTTGACATCTTTAGAAAATGAACACTATTATCCACCTTACCAATAATGGTTTATATTCAGTGACAATAAAAGCCATGGACGTTTTCTGTTTGGGGAATTGAAAAGAAATATTGTACAGAGCCGCTATGCGTTGCTTGAGAGGAATGAGCAGGATGGACCCACTTTCACACCTGTTGTTGGAATAAAATGTTTGTAAGTTATGAGTAGAGCACTAACTAATATTGTAGCTTCTCCAGAGACCATCCTCTCGCTGTTAGTTTGGACATTCCACGCTGAGTGCATATGATCCCTTTTTGGGGGTCCCTGTCTGGGGTGTGGAGTCCAATGTCTGTATCTAGAGCAGGAGCTGAGCTGGTTGGCAGGTTGCTTATCTTTACACTCTTCAGAGCAGATTTCCTAGCAGATTGGTGTTGAGGTTTATCAAGGACTTCCGAGACCCGACTATAAATTTAGGACAGTGGCATATCTTTTAATACTTTGGACACAAAAAATTGAAGCAGATTTTAAGTAGAAAGTCTGAAAATTGCAAAATGCTGTGTAAATTATGACAGTGTAAATTCACATGGTTTTTCGTTGCTGTTCTGTTTGTGGTTTTGTACTGACCCTCCTGCTCTCTTTTTCTCACATGTTCACATAGAAACCTGATGTCCTCACCACTGGGGCCGGTCATCCCATAGGAGACAAACTGAATATCATGACGCTGGGGCCCCGGGGGCCCCTTCTGGTTCAGGATGTGGTTTTCACTGATGAAATGGCTCACTTCGACCGGGAGAGAATTCCTGAGAGAGTCGTGCATGCTAAAGGGGCAGGTGAGAGCTGTGCCCGTTTGTTGTAAAAGGATCGTTTCATAAGACCTGGGTTAGAAATTAGTTTCCAGAGGTTTGGAGCTCCTTTAATAGAAGTGCCAAATCTCCATTCCTGGGAGAAAGGAAAAACAAATGTCCATCAAGATTAGTAATTAAATGCTGCTTATTTACCTGGAGTGAACATTATGTATAAAATACTTTATCTTACTGAAAAGAAAAGTAATCTTCCTTTTCTTTCATTATACAGTTTAGTGAGGGAATGAAAATATGGATATACAGACACTAACCTGCTATAACTATAACTAGATTTTGGTGGTGCACTAACTGAATAAAGAATGGGATGAGCTGTGCAAAATTGAGGATAGTTGTGTTAGGGTGGTGGGTTTGTGGTTATTTTGTGGGGAGGTCCAAAACTTCTATAAAGCTTTTATCTTGCATATATTACAGAAACAAAAGATGGAGGTGGTGTTTAAAAGAAAGCCAAAACTCAATAGGAAAAAGAAAATTTGATAGAAAGGAAGAAAACATTTTTCTCTTAGCTGCTTACTTGGACTCCCAATTAGGATTTCCTAATTTCTTTACTTCCCCTTCGACCTTCCCAGGTTATCTTAGCACGCCTTTTCCACGGTGGCTTTGATATGTCGTTCAGTTTGTTGTTTAGCTCTGCAGTGACCTTCCTAAGTGTCGATTCTTTCTTTCCCTGAATTTTCTTTTCTCCCTGTTCTTTCCCTCCCAAGTCCTACCTGGACTTCAAGGCTGTCTCAGGCCCTGTGTCCTTGGGGCAACCTTGACTAGTCATTGCCAGCCCCACTCCTCCTCCTCTTGACTCCAGCTGTGCAGCACCAAATTTAGCACTGAACAATAACAGTCCTTTGCATGCTACTCTCATCATTTTGTGTTTGGATGTCTCCCCTTCCCCATCGTATTGGGGGCCCCTAGAAGGCCAGTGCTAAACTGTCGGTTTCTCTTGTCACCTAGATGCCTACTGAGGGTCTGATAGTCTGAGTGATGGTCTCATGATGAGGATGTCTCTGTCTTTCTCGTTAGGGGCTTTTGGCTACTTTGAGGTCACCCATGACATTACCAAATACTGCAAGGCAAAGGTGTTTGAGCATGTTGGAAAGAGGACTCCGATTGCAGTTCGATTCTCCACGGTTGGTAAGTTGGTTTTTTGCTTGAGTGCTATTCCTGTACCTTATTTGGGTTCATTTACAACTTAATTTCAAGAAACCTTTATTAGAAGATAGAAAACAAGCCCTTCTCCAAATTGTAGCTGGATTTTACAGTAGAAAACATATTTTGAAACTTCCTTCATGTAGGAAGTTACTTACAATTCTGTTTTTTGAGGTCTTACGGAAGCACACTGATGCAGAAGCCATTTGGCCCAAACGGAATCGTGGAGCTGGTGCTCTTACTCACTAACCGTGATCACAGCTGCCCTTTATTGAGTGTGAACTCCATGCCATCCAGGCTTACAGACGTATCTTATGTGTAGATTTATGTTACAAAGTGGGATTATTCCTATTTCAAAGAGGTTAAGTGACTTTTCTCATGTAACAGAGCTAGTAAGAATTAGATCTATTAGATCTAATGTCATGCTACATCTTAACACACTATAGTGTTGTGATTCTATTTCTGTTTTGGTCTCTGTTCATTTTAAAAATACTTGGGAGTTTATCTTTATAAGTGAAGTTAAGAATAAGAACCTATATTTTAACTCATTTTCTTAATACCAACTTCATACTTTTGATAACTCTTTTAATCTTCACAATGATTCTCTTCCCTTATTTTAATTTAAATTTTAATTTCCTGTTTGATCAAAGCTTCCTCATTATGTCAAACTGATCGTCTTTTCAGCTGTTACTCCATACACAGGCATGCCTCAGGATACTGTGGTTCCAGTCCCAGACTGCCATGATAAAGCAGTTATTGCAATAAGGCCAGTCATCATCTTTCTGCTGGTGCCTTGCATTCAACACGAAACATCTGTGATATAAAGTGCAATTAAGTGAACCACAATAAACTGAGATATGCCTGTATTCTCTTATTACTCTCAATTAATTCTTTTGTTTACTTTGTAGACCAACTTAGCAGGTGGGTGGTAGAAATAATAACCTAGGCACTTAAACACCTAATTTACTTCTAGGGAACGGGTTAGAAAGGCTAGATACCAATGTTTCTTTGTGACTTTAGGCTTCCTGGATGCAAAGTGCTCTGCTCACATTTCCTTTGTTCCATTTGAATCTTCTAGCTGGAGAATCGGGCTCAGCCGACACAGTTCGTGACCCTCGTGGGTTTGCAGTGAAATTTTACACAGAGGATGGTAATTGGGATCTTGTGGGGAATAACACCCCCATTTTCTTCATCAGGGATGCCATATTGGTAGGTGATAAAGAATTTTGCCCTCTACAAATGTGTGCTGATTTACATTGATTTTAAATATTCCATATAGACTGGCATTTGAGGGGAAGTCCTGGGAAAGGCGGAAAGAAAAGAATTTGGGTCTGCTGGATTACCTTTTAAAACACATTTTTCTGTATTTAATATTGCTTTATACGATCAAACTACTACAGTTACCATGAGTCTCAGATTTGGCATTTTAAGATTCACTGACTTAGTGGGAGCAGTCCAGTTTTCCTTGCAAAATGTGGCAGATTAGTAAAAATACTCCCTTTGCCCTAGAAACAAGTAGAGAGTACATTTCACTGTAGGGTTTGGCAGTTTAACATTCCTTGTTAATGTTCAGAATTATAACCCATAAACCAAGGAATAGTCATTGTATAAGACACCATCATTCTTGTAAACTTGTTTTTTTCCCCTCTTATTTTCCATTTAGTTTCCATCCTTCGTTCACAGCCAGAAGAGAAACCCTCAAACACACCTGAAGGACCCAGATATGGTCTGGGACTTCTGGAGCCTCCGTCCCGAGTCTCTGCATCAGGTGGGGACATGTCTTTCTCCTTAAGTTATCACCGGGGATGGAACTGTGGTTATGACTCATTAAGCGTTTCTCCAGTTTTGACTGTTTTATTGGAATTGGTTTCTGACTTTCTTTTTGGGCACTGCCTCAGATTTCTTGGTCTTGAAGAATTTTATAATGACCAATGTTATTAATCTTCCTCCAGTGATGGACCTTAAGTGATGCTAGAAACATTATCAATTGATATTTAGCAATATTCAGGGTTGAAGTCTATAGGTGAAGTATTAGGGAAATGAGGGGAAAGTAATACTAAACAAATTTACTATTAAAATACATTTTGAATAACAAAGTTAGGCTAGTTTTCAGATTGGTTTTAGTTTTTATTTATAAATTTTGAGCCATGAGGCTAATGATCTATCTATCATTCTGCTTCAAAGCGATTTGTAGATTCAGTGCAATCCCTATTAAAGTACCAATGACATATTTCACAGATACAGAACAAACATTTCAGAAATTTATATGGAACCATAAACGACCCCAAATAGCTGCAGCAATTTTGAGAAAAAAGAAAAAAGTAGGAGGGATCACAATACCTGATATCAAACTGTATTGCAAGGCCACTGTAATCAAAATAGCCTGGTACTGGCATAAGAACAGATACGTAGACCAGTGGAACAGAACAGAGAGCCCAGAAATAAACCCAAGTCTCTATGGTCAATTAATATTTGACAAAGGGAGAAGAAGCATAAAAATAGCCTCTTCAACAAATGGTGTTGGGAGATCTGGACAGCAACATGCAAAAAAATGAAACTCAATCACCAACTTACACTATACACAAAAATAAATTTGAGGTGGATAAAAGACTTAAATATAAGTTGCGACAACATAAAAGTCCTAGAGAAAAACATCAGCAGGAAAATCTCAGACATTCCATGAAGCAGCATGTCTTAGGGGACATAGCTTCACTGATATGTCCCCTAAAGCAAGGGACACGAAGGAAAGAATAAATAAATGGGACCTCATCAAATTAAAAAGCTTCTGCATGGCTAAAGAAAACTGTATTAAAGTGAAAAGAGAACCAACTATATGGGAAAAATATTTGCCAATGATGTCTTGGGCAAGGGTTTCATCTCTAAAATATATAAAGAACTCATAGGACTCCACTCTGGGAAGACAAAAAACCCAATTAAAAATGGGCAAAAGACTTGAACAGACACTTCTCCAAGGAGAACATACAGAGGGCCCATAGACATATGAAAAGATGCTCAGCATCACTAGCCATCAGAGAGATGCAAATTAAAACCACAATGAGATACTGCTTCACATAGGTCAGAATGGTTATCATAACCAAATCAATAAACAAGTATTAGAGAGGATGTGGAGGAAAGGGAACCCTAGTACACTGCTGGTAGGAATGCAGACTGGTAGAGTCACTGTGGAAAACAGAATGGAATTTCCTTTGAAAACTAAAAGTGGAACTGCCTTTTGACCCAGCAGTTCTGCTTGTGGGACCATATCCTAAGAACCCTGAAACACTAATCCAAAAGAATCTATGTACCCCAGTGTTCATAGCAGCACAACTTACAATAGCCAAGTGCTGGAAGCAACCTAAGTGCCCATTTTGATCCACAAAGTAAATGAGTGGATCAAAAAACTATGGTACATTTACACAATGGAATACTATGTAGCAGAGAGACAAAAGGAGCTCCTATCCTTTGCGACAGCATGGATGGAACTGGAGAGCAGTATGCTAAGTGAAATAAGCTTAGGTAGTAAGGGACAAATACCATATGATCTCACCTTTAACTGGAACATAATCAACAAAAGAAAAAAGCAAGCAAAATATAACTAGAGACATTGAAATTAAGAACAATCTAACAGTAACTGGAGTGGAGGGGGGAGGGGATAATGGGGTGAAGGGTTTTCAGAACTACTATAAAGGACACATGGACAAAACCAAGGGGGAGGGTGGGAGCAAGGGAGGGAGGTGGGCTTGGCTGGGGTAGGGGAGAGTGGCGGGGAATGCAGACAACTGTAATTGAACAACAATAAAATAATTAAAAGATTTAAAAATAATTTTAAAAATTCTTTTAAAAAAGATGATAATAATGGGGGACTTCCAATCAAGATGGTGGCATAGTCAGAAATGGCTCACCTCTTTGCACAACCACATCAAACTTACAACTGAATATAGAACAACAGTCAGAACTGTCAGAAATTGAGTTGAATGGAAGTCTGACAACTGTGGAATTAAAGAAACCACATCCATCCAGCTTGGGAGGAGGGACACAGACGTGGAATGGGCTGGCCCCTCACCCTTGTGTGGTGGATAAAAATTCGGGAGGAATATCTCGAGAGCAAGGAGTCCCAGACCCACACCAGTCTGCCCAGCCTAGGGTTGCAGTGCCAGGAGGATAATCCCCACAACTTCTGGCTGCTAAAATCAGCAGGAATTGAGTTGATGGAAGAAACTTCTGGAACCCCAAGCAGTTCCTCTTGAAGAACCCACACATCAACTCACCCATTCAGACTCACTCTCTCTGGGCTCCAGCACTGGGGTAATAGCTTGAAAGGCACCAGCAGTATCCAGGGAGAGACTGAAGTGTCTGGCATCAAGGTGAGTCAAGGCCATTGTTCCTTTTCTAAACCCTCCACTCACAGAGCCAGCGAGCTGGTGCCATATCTGAGACGTGGCTAACAATGACCTGCCTTGGAGATCCCCAGAGACTCTACCCCACCCGCATTACAGGCCCACAGAAGCTGCTTTTCCATATGAATGGCTGGCCTTGCTTTATGCTTCACAACTTTTTAAATCCTCTAAAACAGGCAGTAGCTGGCCTCAGTGAGCCCCAGGCCTGGCACTAGCAACAGCCAGCCCAGATTCACAGCTTGGCTTCTCCTGGGAAGGTCCAAGCCCGGCGTAAATAGCAGCCATCTCAGATTGCTTTATAGTGCAAGTAGGGTGGTTGAAACAGGTGGGGGCTGACCCACCCAGGAAACTCCAGAGCCAACACACCCAGTGGACAGCTACAGACTGTGTCGGAGCACCGCCACCCTGCCTGATGCTCCACAGAGGGTGGGGGTTGGTGGTAAGTGGTCACAGCCAATCCTTGCAGCTGACTGGCCTGGATAAATCCCTCCTGTTGATCTGCCAATAGCAACGAAGGCTCAACTACAAGAGGAGGGTGTACTCAGCCCACACAAAGGACATACCTCAAGTACTCAGCTTGGGTGAAAGGGGAGGCTGTGCCACTGGACCCTACAGGGCACCTTCTGTATTAGGCCACACTACCGAGACACAGAGTCAAAGTAGCTCTACCTAATACATACAAACAAACACAAGGAGGCTGCCAAAACGAGGAGGCAGAAAAACATGAAAGAACAGATTAAAATTCTAGAAAAAGAGCTAAACAAAATGGAGATGAGCAATCTTTTAGCTATAGAGTTCAAAGCACTGGATATAAGGGTGCTCAAGGAACTTTGTGAGGACCTCAGCAGCATAAAAAAGATCCAGTCAGAAGTGAAGGATATACTAATTGAAGTAAAGAACAATTTACAGAGAAACAACAGTAGAGTGGATGAAGCCAGGAATCAATGATTTGGAACATAAGGAAGTAACAAACAACTAATCAGAACAACAACAAGAAAAAAGAATCCAACAAAATGAGGATAATGTAGCCTCTGGGACAACTTCAAGAGATCCAACATTTGGATAGTACGGGTGTCAGAAGGATAAGAGAAAGAGCAAGAAATTGGAAATCTATTTAAAAAAAAATAATGAAAGAAAAATTCCCTAATTTGGTGAAGGAAAATAGACATGCAAGGTCAGGAAGCACAGAGTCCCAAACAAGTTGGGCCCAAAGAGACCCAAGACTTACACTCCTAAACACAGGATAATTAAAATGCCAAAGGTTAAAGATAAAGAGGGAAACTTAAAAGTGGCAAGAGAAAATAAGTTAGTTACTTACAGGGGAGTTCCCCTAAGATTGCCAACTGGTTTCTGAAAAGAAACCTTGTAGGCTAGAAGGGATTGACAAGGAATTTTCAAAGTCATGAAAAGCAGGGATCTGTAGCCAAGATTGTTCTACCCAGCAAAGCTATCCTTTGGAATCGAAGGGCAGATAAAGAACTTCCCAGACAAGAAAACACTAAAGGAGTTCATCATCATCAAACCATTATCATGTGAAATGTTAAAGGGACTTATTTTTTAAAAAGATACAAACTATGAACAATAACATGACAAAAAATACAAAATCTTTCAACAATTGAATCTAAACAAACTAAGCCAACAAGAAGAACAGTGACAGAATCATGGATACAGACAGTGTTTTGACGGTTGCCAGATGGGAGGTGGGTATGGAGGAATGGGTGGAGAGGTGAGGGGATTAAGAAGTACAAGTGGGTATTTACAGAATAGCCATGGGATGTAAAGGACCGTATAGGAAATGGAGAAGCCAAAGAACTTCTATACATGCCCCATGGACATGATCAATGGTGTGGGGGTTGCCTGAGGGAGTGGGAGATGCTGGGGGGGTGGAGCAAAGAGGGGAAAATCAGGACAACTTGAATAGCATAATCAATAAAATATAATTTTTTAAAAAATGATAATAATGGCAACCTTTTCTGTGGGTACATGGCTAATATGTTCCATACCAAGAACTTTCTGGAAATTTGGGAGTATCTAAAAATCTAGGTTATTTTGATTTAAATGGAAACATTTTAGGCTCTATTTTTCTGTTCCTTAGGTTTCCTTCTTATTCAGTGATCGGGGGATTCCAGATGGACACAGGCACATGAACGGATATGGATCGCATACCTTCAAGCTGGTTAACATGAATGGGGAGGCCGTTTATTGCAAATTCCATTATAAGGTACATGTTGCGTTTGGGGCAAGGAGTGAAAGACTCCCACCACCCCCGTCTCCTTCCTTCTCCTGAGGATTGGGCAGAGATCAAAAAGAGCAAGGCCTCTCCAACCTTTCCCTCACTCCACCCCCAAGGATAAGGAGTATTGATCTATTTGATTAGTACTATGCGCACTTTGTTATCTACCACCTGGTCGCCATGCCCAGATAGAAGAACTGTGTGTGATCTCTTTCTGATCTCTCCTTCTCCTGTGGCCAGAGGGTAAAACCACAAAGCTGTTCATGGTCAGGCTTTCTTCTTCCGGACCCTGGTAACTCCGCCATACATACTTGGGAGAATGTTCCTTTTGTGCCAGCTTTCTGGTTCAATGTTTCTGGTGCTGGCAGGCGCGCATTGAAATTTTTTCTCTGTGGAGAGAGAAGATTGAATTTTTTATTTAGTTTCAAATGTAAGGAGTAAATACAGGCCTCTAGGCTAGGCCAAAGGAGATGTCTACCGGGTTTAGCCTAGCTTTCTGGAGTTCTCTGTTGGAGTTTAGAGTCGAGTCTTAGCAAACAGTAAAGTACAGTGCTTTGCCTTTCTTAGCTTTTAGTCATTGTTCTGAACATAGGTATCTTTTTGGGGTGTTCTGTTGGTAATACCTATCTCACCATTCTTTCAAAATTTGATGCTATCTTTCCAAAAACATTTCTTCTAACATTTAATTTATCCTTCCTTTTATTTAGCATGTATTGAGGGTATATTGTAAACAAAGAAAATAAATGAAATCAGTTACAAATGTTAAAAAATGAAAATTCTATTTTTTAAAATTTATTTTTGTACAATCAGATCAAATCAGTTACATGTGGGGAAGTTTTGAGGATGCTTTTAATTAATAAAAGTATTTCCTCTTTTTAAAAGATTTTATTTATTTATTTTTAGAGCGAGGGGAAGGGAGGAAGTGAGAGAGAAACATCAATGTGTGGTTACCTCTCACGTGGCCCCCACTGGGCACCTGGCCTGCAACCCAGGCATGTGCCCTGACTGGGAATCGAACTGGCGACCCTTTGGTTCGAAGCCCGTGCTCAATCCACTGAGCTACACCAGTCAGGGCAGTATTTCCTTTTTTAAAAAGTTTTATTTATTTACTATTAGAGTGAGGGGAAGGAAGGGAGAAAGGGAGAGAAACATCCACAGGTGAGAGAAACTTCGATCTGTTGCCTCTCCCATACCCCCACCCCGGGCCCTAGCCCACAACCCAGGCCTGTGCCCTGACCGGGAATTGAACAGGTGACCTTTTGGTTTGCTGGATGATGCCCACCCCACAGAGCCACGCCTCAGGGCTTAAAGTGTCTTAAAAGGCTCTCTCTTAGTATGATATTGGCATTTGTTAGAATAAGCAATAGTCCAAGAGAACCTCTGGCTGCTTAAGAACTTATTTCCAAATACTACTGCTAAAGTAAGAAGAGCCAGAAGTGGGCTCATGACAATATGGACTCACTCTTTAATGACATCGCAGAGACCTGTTTCCCCTGTCCCGGCAGTAGTTATCTGAACAGCTTGTGCAGATAGAGCAACAGGAGAAGTGTCACCCCGCTTTACACTTATGACTTGGGTCTGTAATCTCCGGCACAGAACACGTCGGCTTGTCGTTGGCCCACTGGCCTGTAATCGTCCAGAGGAGCAGTGGTGCAGCCGAACTCAAGGGTTGTGTCTGGGATGGCTAGCCCGGTCGGTGGCTTTGCAGTCAGGCCAGTCAGAACTCGGATCTTGCTTCCTCTGGGTATCTGTGACTTGGCGTGTAATTGAAAGTGCTCTGAGCCCCAGTTTTGTCTGTGTAATTGGGATAATCATGCCAGCTGTCCAGGGTCCTGGAAAGATCGGATTGCATCTGGGTCTGTTCAGCAGGGGGCCCTGAGATTGCCTGAACTCCACATAGATTCATCAGCCTGGATTATTCTGACCTAAGAGTATTCTTTTCTAAGCCCAAGGGATTTAATTAAACTCATAAAGGTATTGCAATGTTATTGTATAATTTAATGCATGAGCTCTCTGTCTGATCTGCCAATGGTGACCTCCATCTTTCAATCCTGGCTTTGTTTCTGGTCTCATAATAAGAAGGGTTCAGATCATGCTGCAGGCTGGAGTGAGTTGGGATTTCTGGGGTCGCAGTGGACCAGCCTTCAGAGCTAACTTTCGCTGAGGAAGTCTTTCTGTGGAGCTTGGCTTAATGGGGATCTTGTAAAGTAAGATACAGGTGGGAAATTTATTGAAGATCAGTATGGATATTAGGAGCACTTTTGAAAGTGACTTGACTTCTTTGGGTCTTAATAGCTTGTTCGGAAAGTCAGAATGCTAACTTCATCTGCTCATAGTCAGAGAACTGTTTCAGAGTGGCTGGGCTGAATGAGATTCTTTTGAGATCTGTGAACTAAAATTCTATCATTTCTTTTTTTTAAAAAGAAAGTATGGGGTGGAGGGCTACTAGCTAAGCATTAGCTACAATCTCAGTAACTGATTTGAACTATTATAAAACAAAATTTAAAAGTTGCTTCACGTAGGAAAGTTCTTTAATTTTTAAAATTATTTGTTCATTTGAAAAATGTATTTTGATTTTTTTCTGATTTGAAAAGTAACATGAGTATAAAAATTCAAATAACAAACACTTTGGAAAACAGTTTTGAAGTTCCTCAAGAAATTAAATATAAAGTTACCATATGATCCAGCAGTTCCATTTTGAGATAAATATACTAAAAAAATCCACTGAATTGGACACTTTAAAATGGTTACAATGATAAATTTTATGCCCCAAATTGTTTTGGCTTGTCTAAAGACATCAATACAGCATTCTTTATAGGGGGGAAAGATTGAAAGTAAACTATATGTCAACAATTTTAAAAATTCAAATAATACAGAATGCAAAAAGGGAAAGATAGGACTTATTTTAAATATTAATTGTATAGCTGGGCTCCCTAGACATTTAAAAGAATGTGGATAATGAAGTAGAATTTCTTGTTGACAAATTCATGTTTGTGTCAGACCGAAGAGGGGGATTGTTGCTAGAAGGAAGGCCCAGCCTCAGAGTAGTGTCGCTCATCGTCCTGCGATGAATCCCCGAGTGGAGTTCACTCGCTGTGCCCGTGAGTTTCAGTGTGAGCTTTTTTTCTTTCGTTCTGTAGACTGACCAGGGCATCAAAAACCTTTCGGTGGAAGATGCAGCAAGACTTTCCCAGGAGGATCCTGACTATGGCCTCCGGGATCTTTTTAATGCCATTGCCACGAGCAACTACCCCTCCTGGACTTTCTACATCCAGGTCATGACATTCAGTCAGGCGGAAACTTTTCCATTTAATCCATTTGATGTTACCAAGGTAAGTCAGCCAACAACCAAGTTATTTTCTTGTTAAAAGTGTCTTTGTACCTAATTTTAACAAGTCTCCAGTCCCGCATTCACTGTGGCTGGGAAGTCGTGTATACGATGTGGTGGGACCACGTGCCAGCCTCCTGGCCTGTGAGTGAGTGCTCGCCAGCCCCTCCCTTCCTGCTCCTGGCTGAGACGTTCCCTGAGCTCCCCAGGGTGGCCTGATACATTGTCATTATCAGGGAACAGTTTTGAAAAGCCGATGTACTTTTGCCCAGGGAAAGTGTCAATGTTTACTCTTGACTGTTGTGAAAGATTTAACCAATGCACTAACCTTAAATTCTTATCATTTTATTGGATTAAACATTATTATTTTTACTTACTATGATTATGTCTGCAAGCTGGTATTTTTCTGTGGGCACTTTAGTTTCCTGCAGTTGGCTGTCTGGTAATTATGTATGTCACCTTATTTTTAGGTTTGGCCTCACAAGGACTACCCTCTTATCCCAGTTGGTAAACTGGTCTTAAATCGGAATCCAGTGAATTACTTTGCTGAGGTTGAACAGCTGGCCTTTGACCCAAGCAACATGCCTCCTGGCATTGAGCCCAGCCCTGACAAAATGCTTCAGGTAAACCCGGTGGATGGAGAGGCACCGTGGCGGGAGTACGTGCAAGTGTGCATGTGCACATGCTCACACACACACACTCAAACACACACTGTGCAATTTGTCTGAGGCACGAGCTAGCCCTTAACCTTTAATTAAGCTGAGTCCTTAGTTTATGTGGGACTGACTAAGACACTTTGAGATGGGCATTGCAGTATAGGCCAGATTTCATAGTAGTCCCTCAGTATGTTAAGACTGACATTTGGTCCCTTAATTTGAAAGAAGTTACCCTAGAACTGCCCCAGGTATTTGTAAAGAAAGTGCTCTTCCTTCGGGTTGGAACTAACCGGAGGGAGTATTTTCAGTTGAATGTAACACCTTGGTCAACATCATTCCACTCGTTTCCCCTTCCGTGGTGGTACTTGAATGTTTCCATCAGTAAAAAGAGACCCGGACATGGTTTTTCACAAACTACATTTTCATTGTCAGCGATTAAAGGCCGTGTTTATTTGTCTCGAATGTTCTGAGGCATTCGGTACTTTTTCTTCACTCTTTGGCATGTGCTTTTGTGTGTACAAAGTCAAAATTGTTCTTTGGAGTAGACGTCAGCAGAAAGCTAATTGGTTTAATAATTGTTGAGAATCAATGGTTTTGGGTTTTGGACTATGGTCATGAACCAAAAGTTAAAGATTGTAATGAGGGGTCAGACTGCAGTGACCGGTGGCTGCTTCGGACGTGAGCATGTGACTCCAGGTCAGGTGTCACTCCTTGGAGGCAAACGAGGGGTCCCCTGTTTCCCTCAATAATAACTTTTTCTGCTTTGCCAGTGGGAACATCTGGGGCACTTATAGAAAATAAGTTTTTCATTAGTTTTTGTTATAGTATTACCTCATGTAAATGGAATACCTATCTATGTGTGTGATAGACTGTCCTGGCGGCTGTAGCAGATCCAAAACACATGATGTCATGGAAGGTGGAATGCTGTGCTGAGTCAGGGAAGCTTGTCTGACAGGAGATGATGACAAAGATTCCAGAATGAGGTAGCACTGGAGGTGGCTTTTGGGTGAGGCCTAGATTCAAGCTGATGGCGGGGGATGGCCCTGCTGTGTCCATTTCCCAACCTTGGCTCTCCATCGTGTGTGGGGTGGGTTTGCTCTACAAGCACCAGGCTGCGCACAAGCAGAAGTAAATGACAGAGCTACCTCCAGGAGCTGTGAGGGCTCAGGAGCACCTTTTGTCCTGCTGGTAAAGTTAGAGCACAGCTTAGTCTGTTTTGAGCTAAAGGAGGCACTCGGCTCCCAAACTGTTAATGGACCTCAGCCGTGGCTGCACGGCCAGTCTTGTAAATGTTACCCTAGACTATTGGAAACGATCGTGGGAGGTAGAGACACTCAGCCAAGAGCAAATTGTTGGCAGGGCAGTGAGACTGGATTGAGCATGCACTGGTATGAGGGATTGGGCACAAAATAATTTCGTAAGTTGCTGTTTTCAACTTGATTTTTATTTTGGCTCACAGAGTTAGGAATGTAATAATACTCTTTCAGATTCAAAGTCAGTGATAAAGTCTGTGCAGGAAGACTGCTCAGAGAGTACAGCTTTGAATAATGAGAATATTTAAATAGCTGGATACTCTGCAGAGTTAATCAAAGCCTTTTGTTTCAACACTAGTAACTTCAAGAACTCTTAAAATGCATACCAAGCTGCCTTAGTAAATAACTGAATTTGATCTTTGATTCAGGACCTGTGGCATTGGAGGGCCATCGTGATGAACCACGGCTTTCTTCGTGTCGTGCTTCGTTCATAACTAGAAAGTCTTGGACCTCAGAAGTGTCTCTGACACAAATTAAAATGCAACACGAGAGTGGCTTTTTGTGTAATTTACTGCACAGCTGGCTGTGTAGAAATGTGCTTCTCTTGTTAATGCACACAATGTCCGTCTCATTTACGACTGCAGGGCCGCCTTTTCTCCTATCCCGACACTCACCGCCACCGCCTGGGACCCAACTACCTTCAAATACCCGTCAACTGCCCCTTCCGGGCGAGACTGGCCCACTACCAGCGCGACGGCCCCATGTGCGTTCTCGACAACCAGGGTAAGCCCACAACACTCGGCTCCTGCTGTGAGGGCAGAGGGCACAGCCACGCGGAGGCTGGGGCAGCAGGCTGGTGGTTTTCAGTCTGGCCCCCGGGGACCTCCTGCTCTGTGCGGGCAGGGGCTCCACAGGCGCTTCTGCCAACCACATAAGTGTTGCCCAGCAATGCAGGTTTGACCTGTCCGAGGACTCTCCACACTATTATCTAAGTATTTCCCTTGTTTTATTGAGAGTTCCACCTCTGATTTTCCTTGTCATCCATCCTGTCGTGAAAGACAGGGAGAAGGAACTTTCACACTGATTATAAGTGGAGTAGCATCTAACATAGACGCTCAGTTTTAAAGATTCTTCCCAAGTGGGCACTTCCTTAAATTACCAGGGTTTAGAATCCTGGAAGTCCAGAAGTCAAGAGTTCATGGTCCTCTGCGCTTCTTCCAGGCCCGTGGAGGAGCAAGACTAGCTAGATTCGTAGGGGGTGGGGTAGGTTAGAAATAGAGGATACAGAGCAAGTCCAGGGATTCTCCTACACCAGTTTTTGTTCAGTGAACATAATTGAACTCCTATAAATCAACTGGTGAGATGAGACTACTGCATTTTGTTTCTTGAGGCCCATTTATCAAATCTGTGTTTTTTTTCTTTTAACTACATTTTCAGGTGCCATGTACAAATAGCTTCTGTTTCTAATTATTCTTCTAATTAGAGAATGCTTAATTTATGGGCTTTTTCTTTTAACTACATATTTGAGTGCATGTATGAACAGCTTCTATTTCTAATTATTGTTTTAATTAGAGATTGCTTAATGAATGTTTTTTCCTTTTAATATTCCACAGTTTAATACAGATCTTAGTTTTCTTTTTTACTTTCACATTTAGGATGCGTGTTTTAGTGACAGGCTGCTTACACTGGTCCTCTCAGAAATTTTACTACTCAGTTATATTGATAGCCCTAGATGTCTGTATTGGAACAAAGTTAATTTTTCTGTTATAAAAATAATACATGTGCTGTAAAGAAAATTTGGAAACTGTGAGGTACAAAGAGAAGGCAGAAGAAAAAACTCAGTTGTAGTCCCAACACCCAAAGGCCACAACTGTTAACATTTTGCCATATTTCTTGCCAGTCTTTTCTCTGTATATTTTTATACATTTAAGATTGCTTTGAATATATAATTCTGGGCCATGCATTTGATACCATTGTCACTAAACCTTTTCCATGTATTTAACAAGGTTACACGCTCACCAACTGGTTATATTGGTTGGTCACTGTGTTTCTGCTTCTCTAGGGATGAGAGTGGTACTGAGTACATTATTGCTCAGAGTAATTGGTGCTGTGTCTTCTGCATTTTTGTTCTAAAGTGATTTTTTTCCCACTCATATTCCTTGGTCCTTTTGTCATTGAGGCTGGCTGTTAGTGAGAGTTGTTCACTTGTGAAGAGTTAGAGAAGTTCGTGTGTATTTTGGAACTTTTTTCATAAGTAACTGCTTCATGTTTGCCATTCTTGTTTACCGTTATGGTGGTACACGTGTGGAAAACCACTTGTGGATGGATTTGCTGTACCACTTGCCTCTTTGTTTTAAAAGCAGAGCATTTGGGCTGTGCGCTTAAAGTCCGATGCAAGTGCTTAATTGTTCCCAACAGTCAATGACTTGAAGACAACTCCCACTTTGAATAAAGGCCAGAGCTTATTTGGAAATAGAATTTAAAAATTACTCAACTAGGCACATTTCAAAGAGCTACTGCTTAGTGGAGAAAACCCCATGGTGACTGGTTATTGGAGCACCTTGTTCTCCATACAGATGTGGCTGACCTAGAATGGGTTTCTCGAGCTAATGACTGGGCTGCATAATAGTATGCTGTCCTCTCTCTTCCTGCGTGCCCTCAGTACCTTGATAAATGTGATTAGTAGGCACCCCCTGTCTATCCACTCTGCATAATCGGCTCGGGCAGTGTGCTGGGTAAAATTCCAACCCCAGACGGGTTTGTTCCAACCACTTAGTTTCTAGGCCACTCCTTTCAGGCAGGGTGTGTTCAGACAGTTATCGCTTCTGCTCATGTCAGCGGGAGAACAGTATAGTTGGGAAAATAAATATGCCAAAATAGAAAAAAACCTTCATTTTTTTCCAGAAGTCATACCAAATGTTTTGATTATATTTTTCACTTAAAGTCCAAATAAATGAGTGCTGACATTTAGAAGTATCAAAGTTTTAAAAATCCCCTTTTTTATTTATCTGTGGAAGAAAGTAAAAGTGAAGCTAAAATTGAGTAAAGTCGTAATCCATAGAGGAGAGATGCTAGACTTTAATGAAAAGCAGAGTGTGGAGTGGGGATGCGGTGCGCACTGGAAGGGCGGAACGTCTGAGAACCCAGAGCTCTAGTACCGGACCCACCACGAGTTACCTTGTGGCTTCGCAGCAGCTGAGCTCTCAGGGCTCAGTCCCTGCAGGAGCAGAGCTGGAACTCTGAGTTGCCCCCAAGAATTCTGTGCTTCTGTGTTTGCACTGAGCCTAAACCTACATGAAATCCTAAAATTTGAAATGTGTCTTTGGGTCTCGTTTCTATGGGGGTCAAATCAAACCTGCATAAATGTATTTGTACTGGCAAGCGTCAGATTTCACAGATTAGATCCGTTGAAGTGTTCGAGGGGAATCTGAGATCTCTTCCTTAGGACTCAGAGTGAAACAGCCCATGCGAGCGTCTGGAAGATGGCAGTATTCTGTAAGAATCTGAGTATTGCCTGTAGGTAAATGTGGCACATTAAAAATAACGTGTATAACATGTATTGTGAGTATATGTGTGTGTGTGTTTGTAGACTTCCTTTTTCTGATCTCTCTGAGTGAACCCGTGTGGCTCGCCCTTGCAGGCGGAGCTCCCAACTACTACCCCAACAGCTTCAGCGCCCCTGAGCACCAGAGGTACTCCCTGGAGCACAGCACCAAGCAGTCCGGGGAAGTGCGGCGCTACAACAGTGCGGACGACGACAATGTCACGCAGGTACTGACCGCTTTGTCTGCTGCGGGACTCACTTAACCGTTCCGCTTCTCTGTGTCTGCTGATTCCCCCCCTCCAAGTCTCTGGTATGTCTTCAGTTGAATTCAGGGAAGACACCTCTAATCAGAAATCAATCCCTTTTATCAGACGGGGTTGATGAGTTGTGTTACTCTGTTCTTTCAGTTCAGGTATGACACATTTCAGTTCCTCTAAGTTTTATTGAGGGGATAAGGTGGGGGCCACTGGGGAAGAAATGATCTCATGGAAATCTAAGAAATGGGCGAGGAAAGCTTCAGCACAGCCAAATCTAAGAATCTGGGCAGGACTGATGGATTTAAGGGACTAGAGCTGGATGTAGGAGCCTCCCTCGCAAGAGTGCAGGTGTTCCCACTGTGGGGCTTACCAGTCACACGGCCCCGCTACTCCGTCTGCCTGCTTCTGCTTTCCAGCACTTCCCTCCACTCCGCCTCGGAGCTTCTGCTTTAACATGGCTGTGGCTTGGCGGTGGCCGTGGCCTAACTGTTCTTCATGGCTTCTTTCTCCGTATGGTACCCGTTTTCCGACCTCTTTTACTTCTCTCATTGCTTCTGTATCAGGTTCCGGAGAGAGGGTGTCAGATTGACCTGACTAATCTTTTCATTCTAGGTTGCCTCACTGGCCTTTGGCCAGCTTATAGTTAACTGCCCTGGGTCACGTCCTGACCTCTTTCCAAGGACCTGTGGCTGCCTGAGGGCTGTTCTTTCAGCAGTTGCGTGAAAGAGGCCCTTTGACCTCAGAGAGCAGCCTCCTCCTGAAAGTGTTCAGTGCAACTTAAACCACACACAGAAAAGAATAACGTTACAAAGTGTAGCCTTCCGATAGCTCTGCTTGGGTAGTTGGTGTTAAACTTAGTATTTAACTAAGAATAGGACTGATTTCTACTTTCTCATTTTGTAAATGTGGGTTTCAAGTAAAATATACTTATATATGTGAATTAATACACCGTAAAGGTATCTTTATTTGAAAGACACTTATGTGTATACATGTATGTGTACATAAAAAAGAAGACACTTGTTGTAGGATATAAACCACATTTAGTTGAAATTAAACATCTCCTGAGAGGCCTTTTATATTAACGGCATTATTCTTCGTATGCAGGTATACCAAGTATATTACAATACAATTCCTGCCTCTCAAAGAATTTGGCCTAATGAGGTATATTCCAGTGTTAAACTAACAAATATAACCTCTGCAAAAATTAATTTGAATTGTGAGGCTGTTGCATACACATTAAGAATTATAAGATAATCATAGCTTATTGAGAGAGATCCTTATCACTATGTAGAACTCATGTTTTTAAGCAGTGATGATACCGCTCATAGGTTTATAGCATAATCCTGCAACAAAAAGAATCATAAGGGAACTCAATAAGAAGGCCCGGGTTCATACTCTCAAAAATGATTTACTTGGACTTCCACTTCTGGCTTATTGCAGATTAGCTTGTGTCAGACCCAACCTTTCATGGGGGACATTGGAAAGCTAGACAAAATGCAAAAAGCATCTGTTTGAAGGCTTTGGAAAGCCTAGCAGAGCAACAAGGATTTGAGGAGCCAAGACCTTGGACAGAAAAGTAGTGTAGAGGTGTGAGCTCGGCATTCGGTGTTCTTTCTGACAAGGCATTTGTTCCTTTGTGAGCACTGGCCAGGATGCTGAGCAGAATTTACCGCATTTTTATGGGGCTGGAGGGATAACAGTTGGAGTTCAGGGCCCGTGAAGGGGGAGGCCTTCCGTTAACATTCAGGCTTTTGGTGGGAATCCCTAACGGACGTGCCTGAGAGTAAGGGAGTACCTGAAAGAAGCTTACCTTCCCAAAGACTGAGACACAACTTCGCATCAGCCCAGTCTCAGCCTGGATCAAGGAGACCTCGTTTTATCCTACCCGCGTGCCAGAAGCAACATAGCTCTTTGGAGGAAAGTAGGGCCTCAAATTAGTTCTACGTTTTTTCATATCAAATGACCAGCATTCAGTCATTACCAGGCATACCCAAAACATAAGACCTTATGTCTGAAAACCAGGAGGGCAAAAAACAAACCAGACAATAGAAACAAGCCTACTGGAGATCCAGATGGTGGAATTGTCAGATACAGGTTTTGAAATAACTGTGAATAATATGTTCAAAAAATAGATGACACCATGGAGAGTTGAACAAGAGAACTTGAATCTGTATAGCTTACTATATAGTAAGAATTGAATGGACATGCTGAACTGGAAAATGCAACTGAAATGAATAACTTAGTAAATGGGTTTAAAAGGAGATGAAACACAACTGAAGAGGATATGAGTAAACTGGACCATAGAGCAGCAGATATGATCAAGACCAGCTCAGGAAGAGAACAAGAACTTCTCTTTATTACAACACATCATTTAGAGACTGCAAGGCAAGCCACAGAGTGGGACAATGTTGTTTCACAGATGACTCACGTACAGATTATGTGAAGAACTACAGAGCCATAAGAAAAAGACAGACAAATGAATGGAAACATTGGCAAGAGACATGAATAGGCATTTGCAAAAGAGGATATCCAGAAAGGTGAAAAACATGGAAAGGCGGTTTTCCTTACTAGGGATGTGGAAATTTAAACCACAAAGAAGCACCTCTAGAAGCACACCAGAGGGGCTGGGAGGAAAAAGACTGACCGTACCAAGTGTTGGTAAGAATGAAGAACAACTCTGACCGTCACATAATGAAAATATTCCCCAGAGATGATTTCGGGCTACCGATACGATGTCACCGAACCTGTGGCATTGGGCAGTGATGTTCATTGTCCTGCTTTCATGCACTGTTTCTGCCATAGAGGCAACAGTAGACACCAATGATATCAAGAATACAGGAGTATGTAATAATTGGGACGTGATGTTTTGAGGATTTATTACTTTTGTTTGTAATGTCATTTATTTATTTACTTGTAAGTTTATATGACAACTTTTCATAATGGCTGTATTTAACAAGTCACTCACAGAATTTCTAAAAATTCAGTAATTCCTAAAAATTCGGCTCCCATGAACAAGCTACCTGCCGCACACCACTGGAGTTTCAGGACCAGATTTCTTCTAGTTCAGGGTGGTGTTGGGTTGGCCAAAAAGTCTGTTAACTTTTATCCGTAAAATAAAAGACATGTTTCTCATTTTCACCAATAACTTTACTGATTTGGATATTGTGAGTATGTCGGCTGTGTCCTGCTATTGGCTTCTAGTGGGTGGAGGCCAGGGGTGCGGGTAAACATCTTCCAGTGCATAAGATGGCCCCACAGCAAAAATGATTTGGCCAGAAAGTCAATAGTACAAGAAACTTCTCAAACCCATTTTTGACACGTTTGATCAGTCACTGCACCAATCTTTTTTTGTGTTTCAGTTGCATTCTTACCTTTCTTGAAATAATAAAGCATAATACATCGGAAATATTGCTTGTTTTCTTCCATCTTCAATATTAAAATGGCTGCACAAAAATTCACCAATTTTGATTTTTTTAATGCAGCTGATATGACAGCTGTCACAATACAGTCTAAAAAAATTGTTTCAAGTGAAGTTAAAGACACTAAGCACTACTAGAGCCATTGTACAGAAAAAACTGAACGAACCTTTTGGCCAACCCAGTAGACTGAGGTAACGTAGGAGGCTGCCTACTTCTCACACGTATGTGTTAGATTCAAAATGAAATTTAAAAAAATGTCATTAACAAACAAGGAAGTGAAAAAGTGAAACATCTCCAGCTCCCAGAAATGAAAAAGAAATCAAAGCAGTGTGTGAACATTGAAGGTATGAGTTATTTCATGGGCGTAACTAAACCCTATTTACATCTTATTAAGATTTTACGCCTCCGAGAGGCTAGGTGTTGGGGCCTCCGGCTTCATGTATTGCAGGGAGCTAACACTCAGCTCTTGACATAATGATGGTAACCAGGATCTGGCATTTCTTTGGAAAAACTACCCGCCAGGCTGAGGATGCATCTTGGAAGCATGTGGGCTCTAGATGGAAGCAATCAATCCTGATGTGTTGGGGTCTTTCTCCTGTGCTGTGCTCAGGTGAGGTCCTTGCATTCTTGTCCCACTTTCGGCCACACGGAGCCCTGAACCAAGAAGCAAGTGAGTTAGTAAGTGTTGTTAGGCCTCTGCTGATATGATGAAGAAAAATTACCACATGAAGAGACCTTCACAACTCAGACACATTTGGAGCTTCAGCAGACGATAACTCCTATTGAAAATGAGTCACGTGGAAAAATCACATACAGGGAAATCCAATGCCCTGTGAAACTGCACGTGCGGCAGACGGAAGAATTATACACAATAGAGTACGAGAAGGTTTGAAATAAAGCACCGTGACAGCATTCAAGGAGCTACAGAAAAGAATATTATCCATAAGACAAGAGTAGGAAGTGGGAAAACAAAAACAGGTAGATTTGAAAAAGAACTAAACAGAAAATCCTAGAAACAAAAAATATAATCTTTGAGCTAAAACCACAACAGATACAGTGACTCAGTGGGTGTGTAAATAATATGTTATATACAGCTGAAAATTAGAAAGTGATTTGGAGACCGATCTGAGGAAATCCCCATGATATGGTACTTTGATTAGAATGTGTTATTATCAAAGTCTGATTTCTGAAGTTTGTATCAGATTTAAACGTTGCTTAAATTAAAAAAAAAACTTTATTATGGCCTGTTTCATAACTTACTTAGAAAAGCTATGAGTGCTTCAATATTTTATAAATGATATTTTGAACAATTGGGTATTTTTGGATTTTATAAACATTAATAGAGCAATACATAGAACAGATGGTACTCAGTAAATAGGTATTTGTTGAATGAGTGAATGAATGAATGAATGAAATTTTAGGTTGAAATTATACCTTGTACTTTAGAAATGGTTGATTCTGGAGATGAGCAGAGGCTATTAGGACTCATACCTGAGACTTAGCTCTTATTTTTTATTTTAATCTATTGGCTATATATTTTAGAGGTAAACCCAGTAATCTAAGGAAAAAACCACTATTAACATCTATGTGCTCCAAGAAATCTTGGCCTTTGAATAACTAAGGATATGTAAATAAATTAGGGTTTTTTCCTCTGTGATTCTGGGCATGGAATTGAACAAAAATTATGCTGTGCTAACTGTACATTTGATGATAGTTTGTACATTCTTGACTCGTCAGTATGAAGAATGGGTTGGGATTTTTAACTGTAGGCTATATTGCATTGTGTTTATGAGACTTGTTAGCAGTGACAACAAAGGACATTATTAAATAACAGGAGCTATTATCAACAACTGAATTCCTCCTATTTTGGTTAAAATCAGACAAAACAAAAGGTGAGGGACTCAACACAAATAACACTTTCAACAATAATTTAAAATTATTCTTAAATTCTGAAAACTCATTTTTATGCAAATGGGGAAGTCTCACTTTCTCATTTCAAAAGTAGCATATTGGGTGAGCTTTGTCTGTGATGAAGGGGCTACTCGATTTTTCTCACTGTATTTTCATTGAGCAGGTGCGGACGTTCTACGAGAGCGTCCTGAATGAAGAGGAGAGGAAGCGCTTGTGTGAGAACATCGCAGGCCATCTGAAAGACGCGCAGCTCTTCATTCAGAGGAAAGCGGTGAGTGGTGCTGTGGAAGCTGAAGGGTGACCTCTGCTGGCTGGAGAAGAGAGTGCAGCTGTGTGAGAGAACCCTTGAAAGGAGGTGTCCTTTCTATTTTACTTGAGCTAAGCACACTTCAAAAAATTTGAACTAAGCTCCAATCAGCCTCCGATTACTTTCTCTCCAATGAATATGGCATATCCATTGGTCCTTAGCTCTTTGTCCAATGTGTATTTAGTTGAGTTCAGGGGGAATTCTCTCCTACGCTGTTTTATTTGACTGTGGCCAAGTTCTGTGCAAGAGAATAATATTCAATATGAAGATGTGGGTCCTGTCACAATTTTGCTTTGAATTTGGATGGTAAAAAATTCAGGTTACATTTCTGTGGTTTCAAGTCTGCCTAGCCACTTAATGTCGTGACACTGACCTTCCTTCAGAAGCTACTGGAGACTTGCATGTTTTCAAGGGTGAGAACTGAGCTGCTTCCAAAGGTCAGGCCGAGCTTCTGAGCGACGGGGCCACGTCTTTTTGGTGGCACTCATGGTGCTGTGTGAAGTTTCCTGGCCTGCCACGGGAGTAAGCTTCTTGTAAAGAAAAGCTTACAAGAAACTCCACTATTTTGGAAACGGCACTATTTCCTTGTCTCCTGGGTGCTGCTTCTGTGTTCGCAGGGGCAGCTGGGCTGGCAGCTGCCGGGATGTGTTCAAAGGCCTGGAGACAAGCACTAGCAGGCGGGGCACCCTCTTTGTAGGCAAAGTTCTCTGTCTATAACTACCTTTTACGAGTGTGTGTAACACTACCCCTTTAAGTCTTTGTGGTGCAGTGTGCTTTCTGCTCTCTCCAGCGGGGTGCCTGACAGTGGCCCGGTGAGATCGCTGGGGCAGGTTTTATCGTACCTCACTGACGAGAGTGATTGAGGCGGCTTGCAGGGAGCACACTCTTGGCATACTTCTCACATGCGCTGAAGCTGTTAGGCTCCACGTATATTTATGACACCCCACCTCTCCCCGCTGTCTGCTGGGGCCCAGCCGTGATTGGGAATTCCTGCTTGAAGTGTGTGGAATTGCCCAGCAAGTGCCAGTGACTTTGTATACTTTAAATTGAGGCAGTGGGCCCGTTTCTTAACACAAACCACTACAGCCCGAGTTTCTCCGAGGTCGGCTCTTTACCAGCAGTCGGCGCAGTTTGCCTCACATGCCTCTTTCTCACAATAGCCTGTGAGGTAGAGGACGCTCTCTGCCTCATCTTACGGCGGGTGGGCACGCTCAGCAGGTTGATCAGTGTATGTCCGAGTTCCCACTGGACCCCCAGTCTTACTCTGTGTTGCTAGTCCCTGTGTGGTTCTACTTCCCGAGGAAGCGCCCTTCCTCCCCTGGCCTAGGAGGGACTGAGGTCACGTGTACATTTATTTTCAGGTCAAGAACTTCAGTGACGTCCACCCTGAGTATGGGGCCCGCATCCAGGCTCTGCTGGACAAGTACAACGCCGAGAAACCTAAGGTGAGCCCAGTGCAACCTGGCTGGGGCGGAGCCTGCGTGTCCTGGCTTAGACTAGGCTAGTCTGGTTTCCTTCCAGGATGACTCTGCTCAGGGGCAGCTGTTAGGCCTCTTGTGCAGTTGTTCAAAATCTCATGTGAGATGTAGAGAACTCACGTGCCAAAACACATACTCTTCGTTTTAGCTCTGGACTGTGTTAGATAGTTTAAGGTGAAAATGAGTTCTGAATTATTATTTTCATCGGAGTTAAAGCTAAGGTAAACATCAGGTTGCCGCTGCTGAGTGAGTTCATTGACCTGCTGGTCTTGTTCTTTTAAAACAGAATTCGATCCACACCTTTGTGCGGCATGGGTCTCACTTGGCTGCAAGGGAGAAAGCTAATCTGTGAGGGGCGAGCCCTGGTCTGATGCCAAGTTGTTCCCCGCCTGTGAAGCAAAGCATGGTATTCACACCCGTAATCCTCACCGCTGGACAGAAGATTCTCCTAGGCTAGATGAGCAAATGCAAGTCTTTAAAAATAGTAATCCAGGTTTCTATAACAAATAATGCAACAATGGCTTTTAATGCTATTTCCCTAGGGGAAATGAAGGTAAGGGCGTAACAATCATTTAAAAGAAACATGTATTTGCTTTTGACAATGGGTTGGATTATTTGCTTACAATGACTAGAATGACAGTCTCTAGCAGCAATATAATTTTATTTGATAAGAAAAAAATCTTGGTGACAATATGTTTACATATCATCTCATGGCCTATTATATAAAAATATGATTGTAATTATATGTGAAGAAAAGATCAAGATAATCCACTTAGAAATTTAATTTTTCTAAGTTTTCTATCAGAGAAACACACGTAATGCCTTAATGTCTTTTGAAAATAACTTCAATACCATCATGGTTTAATGCTTATTTCTTCTTGGAACTGATCAGATAATAAACAAAGCAACAACTTGGAATTACATGTATGGTGATACAACATTGATTTTACAATAGAATGATTTGTAATTGTTACCTTTTTACAATAAAATAATCTGTACATAAGAAGAATGGTATTTGATTGCTTTCTGCTCCATATATAACTTGGAATATTCCATCAGACTCCGAATCTGACTATCATCTGGTGCTTACCCTTAAAATGGAAAAAAACCAATATGATGAGGATACTGTGTTATTTGTTTAGTTTAAATCAATCGCCTTTAGACACTGGGGACCAGAACTTCAACTCTGTTGCGAAGACAGCAACCTTCCCAACTTGGAAAATCACTTGCACCTCCTGTCCATAAGCTCACTTCCCTATCTGCTTGTGAGTTTATAGAATAAGGGCTCAGACCCTCAAGTCCTTTTCTTTTATCTTTTTATGCCCATATTTGCCCATCATGCTTGAAAAATCAAGTGGAACACTTTAAAGGTAAATTCTGAGTACTAAATGAAAACCCGTTTTCCTTAAATCCTTATTCCCTTCATGTCAGATCTTCCAAACCATTTTGTGTTTACTCTTAGGAGTGCCCTGCGGTCTTCAGCTTCAGAAACCCGCAGACCACCAGCACATACCAACTTTCAGTCCTCCAGCTCACACTTCTTTACTCCCCTGTCCAACTCTCCTCCCTGAATTCCCCCTGCATTTGAGACTGATTGGACACTGTTAACATTTGTACACATGGAAAGTAAGTTTGTCCATTTGTACCCAATGGGGAATACTTTCAACATAGAAACTTTACTATAGTTGTATCTCTTGATTATATTAAATATATAAGATAAATTGATAACATAAATATAATTTGACACTGGGCAGGAGGTTATTCATTTGGATATTGGTCATAAACAGAAAGACAGAATCTTTGAGATAATATTCTGCTTTGTTCTATTCTGGAGTGTAATAAATGGACAGTTAAAATCACAGGCACCTACCATGTTTCTTGCATGTAAAAAAATCTGACACATGGAAGTGCCTCCAGCTCTATTCCGGAGACCTCTTTGTGGTTTTGAATGTAAATATGGATGAGGGTTACTTCCCCAGTTAGGTTTTACTTCCTAGGAAGTACTGTGTAATTATATTCCTTTTAAGTGATAGTGAGATAATGGTGATGGCAGCCAGTTAATGATGGCAAAAGTGCAAGAATGCAAGGAAGGGAAACCAGGGTTTTTCCTGCCTCGGGATTTTGGGGGTTGTAAACGTACAGCTGCGATTCCAGCCTTTATGTCTGCTGTGCTCACCAGTGTCGGCTGAGGCAGGTCTCATGACTAAGCCAAAGGCAAAGGGAGAGGAAAGGGACACTGCCCTGGAGCTGAGTGAGTGTGTGTGTGTGTGTGTGTGTGTGTGAGAGAGAGAGAGAGAGAGAGACTATATCTCTGAACACTTTAGCATAGACTTGCCTTCCCATCCCTTCTCCGGCACCACTAGAAACTTCACTGGTCATCACCCTCTTTATGCCATTCCTTCCCTTCTCACCGTTTAGATTTTATTGTTTAAAGTCATAATTACTCCAGAACCCAGCCTCGGTGAAATACGCCTCTTTCTTAGCTCCTGCACTAACGTGACTGCAGCTGGAGCAAAGCATCGCCCTGCTGGCTGGGCTTTTGCAAATTTGACCACAGACCTCGAGTGGACCCGGGCACTGTGTGGAAACCTGCCTTTTCTTCCTCAGTAAACTCTCCCACGTGTCTCTCCCTCCCACTCAGCTCCTCATTTCCCCAGGGATAGGATAGCTGCCTTATCTTTTCTTCCACCGAAATCCTCCAGCTTGCCGGCGACGACAGCCACTTGCTCGCCTTCCCTTCCCATGGACAGAGAAGAGCTTTCTTTGTGTGCCGAAGGCCAGCCCCATGTGCGTACTGGTCCCCTGCTCCCCGATCCTCTGGAATCATCCCTGCCCTCTGTTGCACCGTCAGTGCTTCCCTTCTTTCTGTCCGACTCCTCTTCATGTGCAAACCTGCTCTTACGAGGCTCCTCAGATCTTCTCTCGATCTCACAGACCCCTCCCATTGTTGCGCCCTTTATTCTGCTCCCCTTTATTGAAAAGTATCTTAAAAGAGTTGCCTTTACTTCGCCACCTCCACTGTCTCTGTCCTCTCTAAAACCTACTTCAGGCAGGCTGCCCTTGCCAAAGTCACCAGTGACCTTCCTGCCACTGAAATCTAATGGTCTTGTCCAGCAACCCCACTTCTGGGGACATACCCAGAAGAAGAGAAAGCAGGGACTCGAAGGGGTATGTGTGCACTTCATGTTTGTAGCAGCATTACTCACAATGGCCAAAAGGTGGGAACAGCCTAAATGTTCGCTGGTGGATGAACAGACAAACAAAATGTGGCCCAGCCAGACAAATGGAATATCATTCAGCCTCATCAAGCAAGGAGCTTCTGACACATGCCGCAATGTGGCTGAGCCTTGAAGACAGGATGCTAAATGGAATAAGCCAGAGACAGAGGGACAAATATGGTGTGATTCCACTTAATGTGAGGTACCTAGAATAGTCAGAAACAGAAAGTAGAATAGCGGTTGCCAAGGGCAAGGGCAGGGGGAGGTAGGGAATTACTGAGTAATGGTCACAGAGTTGCAGTTTGGAAAGTCGAGGAAGTCCTGGAGATGGCCAGTGGTGACGGTTGTATAGTACAGTGACTGTATTTAATGCCACTGAACTGACTATATGCTTTAGAAATGGTTAAAATGATAAATGTTATGTATATTTTACTGCAATAAAAATAATGCAATGGTCTAGTCTCATTCCTTGTCTTATGTGGCCTCAGCAGTGTTTGATCATTACCACTTTTTGTTTAATAACAGCTTTTTGGAGACATAATCCATGTACCATAAAAATCATCCTTTTAAAGAGTACAATTCATTGGTTTTTAGTGTATGCACAGCATTATGCAATCATCTCCACATTTAATTTTAGAACATTTTTGTCATCCCCCAAAAATGCCCCTGTACCCATTAGCAGTCACTCACCATCCCCCCCAACTTCGTTCTTGCCCCAACCCTGGGCCATTGTGGGTCCATTTTCTGTCTAGATTTTCCTGCTCTGCACACTTCGTGTAAATGGATCATAGATGGTCTTTAGTGACTGACTTCTTCCACTTAGCATAATGTTCTCAAGGTTCTTACTTGTTGTAGCATGTGTCAGTACTTCATTTTCTTTTGTCAAATAATATTCCATCATATGGATATGCCATGTTTTATCCACCTTTTCTTAGTGGAGAGGTGTTTGGGTAGTTTCCACTTTTTGGCTGTTATGAATAATGCTGCTGCAAATAAATATTGATGTACATGATTTTGTGTGGACACATGTTTTCATTTCTCACATTTTCATCTTACCTTCTGAACCCTCTAAAAATGGACTCTCAGGCCCTGGCTGGTGTTCACAGGCTTGTGGACTGAGCACCAGCCTGTGAACCGAAAGGTCACCAGTTCGATTCCCACTCAGGGCACACGCCTGGGTTGTGGGCCAGGTCCCCAGTTGGGGGCATGCAAGGGGCAACCACACATTGATGTTTCTCTCCCTCTCTCCCTCCCTCCCCCTCTCTAAAAATAACTAAATAAAAATACTAAAAAAATTGACTCTTGGGATTTTAAAATCTATTATTTGCTGTTCTAAAAGACGGACTTGGTCCAGACTTTTAGAAGCACGGTGAAGGACACCTTCATTTCAAGTTCAATGTCAGAATTTTGGTTTAAAAATACATGAATTTTTTTTTTAATCTGTAGAAGGGGCATCACTCTAAGTTGAAATCTCTGCTCCGGAAGTGAGTTTTATGGACTTCCCAGCACTCACACTCCTGAGAAAAAGACAGTGGGCAAGTTGCTGGGCCTTTTCTTTGCATCTAGTTAATGGGATTGCCACCGAGCAAAGGGCCGAATTCCACATCACATAAGACAAAGGTTTAAAATTCTTATGGGACGTTTTAAAGATGTGAAGGGTTGGTAGAGGTGAGCTAAAAACGTTCTGTATACTCCTGAATTTGGGGAAATTTTAAACAAGCGTATCAACATGCACCAAGGTTGCTACGGAGAGCTCTATCGTGACCCCTTTGACAAAGGAAATTCTTATGCCCTCATTTGACTGGACTGTGTGATAAGTGAATTTTGCATTGTCCATTGTTTTTATTTTTTGTTGTTTTCTTTGGTATCATTTGCTTAAATTGTGGTATTTTGAACAGTCCTTTGTATTTTCTGTTCCTGAATGACTTGCATTATGAAACTATATGCTTAAGTAAAACTCACATTTTAAAGGGTATCGAAGGCTGGGTGATGGTCCCCAAAAGGATATGTCCTCATCCTAACCTCTGGGACCTGTGAAGGTGACTTTCTTTGGAAAAATGGTCTTTGAAGTTGTCATTAAGTTAGGGGTCTTATGGGCTCATCCTGGATTACCCAGGCAGGCCCTAAATCCAATGGCAAATGTCCTTCTAGGAGAGCGAAGGGGAGAGGGAGGGGCATGTGAAGACGGAGGCAGAGATTGGAGTTTTACAGTCACAGGCTAGGAGCGCCTGGAGCCCCCAGAAGCGGGAAGAGGCCAGGAAGCGTTTATCCCGAGAGCCCGTGGAGGGAGCATGGCTCTGCCCACAGCTGGATGTCACACTTCCAGCTTCCGGAACTGTTTAAGAATAAATGTCATTTGTTTTAAACCACCAAATTTGGTGATTTGTCTTGGACATCCCTAGGACACTAATACAAAGAAAGTGCCGGTTTAATGGTTTTATAAATTGACAACTTCCTGAGTAGCACAGGGATTCATTTTTTCATTCTCTGAATCGCCTGATGCCCCAAAAGCTCCCAGTTCCCCTCTTGCTAGCTAATTTATAACTTCCTGGACATTCTCTTTCCACTGGACTGTGGACTTTGATTCAGTCCATTAATAGGGCACTTACCTCTTTAGGTGGCCAGGACAGGGGTCCCAAATTCAGAACGTACAAGCTTTCTGGATGTATGAAACCACAGCAGTGCAAGAACGAAGCTGACCATCTGGAAGGCGGTGGGAAGCGGTGACTAGAGGCTCTGCCCAACGGGACAGCTTCTGCTTCGCTGCAGGCACTGAGAGACTAGC